ATATACATTTGTACACGTTCTTAATATCATTTACCTCATTCTACTTTATTGTGTTTTTAATTTCAATTTTATTCACTTAAATATCATTTCTTCGTTTCTGTTTCTGACAAGATGTTACCTTATTTTGCTTCGTCTGGATATAATCTTTACGCCAAATCAGCTTATGTATACCTCAAAGAGATGCAAGATCTTGACAAAAATCATTGATCAGTTCATGCAAAGTTCCAGGAGAGCCTTCATGTCATCAGAAGAAGTGACATAACCTCTATTTTGGCATTGGCATTCCTCGCTGAACTAAACCCTGCAAGACTCTTCCCTGAGAAACATTGAAACAGGTGTGGTAGCAGACAAAAATGAAAACGCTGACAGAGCGAAATATGTCGGGACTAAGGTGGTACAGTCCTTAGCTGGAAACAGAATCCTTGACTTGAGTTTCAAAAAGTCTAACTATATACATTGTCACCATGAACGCAAAGACCATGAGTGTCAAAATAGACGGAGACGTTGTTCAGGTCGACCCACAACTACTGTCTCAGCGTCTTACAACAGCAGCACACAGTCAATCTGATGAAATATCAGAGGTGTTCAAATATGAAATATGTAGTTTTCCGTCAAGCTTGTTGCAAGAGGCTGGTCTCACAAATGTTCTGGACGGAAGTTCCCTCTAACAGCGTTTTCCATGGATGACGGGTGACTCCTTTCCGACCATATGCCAAACATAAGTCAAATATGTACGGCAACAATATAGCGATGCCATTGTGGTTTTTGATGGCTATCCTCAAGGGCCTTCAACCAGGGATGTCAAGCACATACGACAAATGAAAGCGACAGTCCAACAGAAGGTCAATTTCACAGACGGCATGCCATGCAAATGAAAATAGAGACATTTCTAACCAGTATTGACAACAAGCAAAACTTTTATCAACCTTCTAAGCCAGAAGCTTCGTGACAGCGGCTGTACCACCGTTCATGCTGAGGGATATGCAGACAAATTGATTGTGACAACAGCGGTTGCGTGTTCATCCATAAAGACTTGTTCTGATTGGAGAGGATACAGACCTGCTTGTGCTGTTGTGCTACCATGCTGATATTAACGCATACAAGTTGTACTTCCGGTCAGAGATACACTCCCAACTTACCAAGATCTGGGATATCCAGAAAACAAAGTCTGTACTTGGACAGGAACTGTGTCAGTTACTTCCGGTCATTCACGCCATGACAGGATGCGATACAACGTCTAGACTGTTTGACATTGGCAAAGGCGCAGCGTTGAAAAAAATCCGCACCCATCCATATTAATAGGGACTTGCCGAAAACTTCATTTGCAATGATTCAAATGTGAATGCGTTAGTAAAAGCTTGAGAGGAAATCATTGCGTTTCTATATGGGGGTATGATGCATGAGGGTCTTGATCTTCTGAGGTTTCACCTGAAAGACAATCACTTCTACAATGTTTTACGAGTTTAACGCCTACTTCAGATGCTGCGACATTTCACAGTAAGCGAGTGTTTCTGCAATGCATTCAGTGGGTTACGACTGATTGTGATGCGAAGGGAAATTGCACGCAACAAAATCAAACCTATCGCATGCGCTGGAACAATTGCTAAAGATAATTATATACTTAATATATAGTGTATGCACTTTCGAGGATTGGACGACAGATTGTATATACCGCCCGATAGAGAGGCATTAGTGACACTAAATTACTACCATTAACAAGCAATACAATTAATTTTCTTTAGTATAATCAGTAAATCAATATGGTATACCCTATTATTATAAAACTGAGCATTGTTTTATCTTCAATTTGCAATATCATGTACGGGTGTAGGTAGTTTAATTAAACATCTATCGAGAAAATTGTGCTTAAATCCATCTATATACAAATATTGGCTAAGATTTCACCAGTTTTAAATACTATTCTTGTCTGTTTACGTCTCTATATTTGATTTTTATGTTGTTACAACATTCAATATGTAAAAAGAACACAAGAACAACTCAAATGCAACTTTTTTATTTAATTTGTATTTTTATCATCATTTTATGCTCAAATATCTATAATTTTGCAAGGGGAGATAATTATTGTCTTTTGATGACGTCATCAATCAACAAATTAGATAGAAGTTAATATATTAAGAAAGAAGGTTACCATACCTTTAAACTGCTATTATATCATATTTTAGTAAGTTGATAATTTAATGAAGAAGATATACAGACGAATAGTGTACCCCTACCCCCTAATATAAGCTAAATTTGTATTGGCACCGGGTGGGTATGATATTGGCAATTTTGAGCACTTTTTTTTTTACTGAAAACCTGATATTTTGTATATGTTGTTCACTATGTATTCAAGACTAGAAAAAATATAAGAATACATTTTATGTTCTATTTTTGTCTATTTTATTGGCTAATTTTACTGGACTATAACTGGTGTGAACAGGAAACTTGTATAAACATGACCTTCAACTACGTCATAATAAATACATGTTTATATTTAAACAGGAAACCTGTATAAACCCTTCATTCAACTGTGGTATAATAAATACATTTTTATATTTATACCTGTGTAAACAGGAAACCTGTATAAACCCTACCTTCAACTACGTCATAATAAATACATGTTTATATTTATACCTGTGTAAACTGTTGAGGAAACCTGAATTAACCTGACCTTCAACTGCTTCATAATAAATACATGTTTATATTTATACCTGTGTAAACAGGAAACCTGTATAAACCCGACCTTCAACTACGTCATAATAAATACATGTTTATATTTATACCTGTGTAAACAGGAAACCTGAATGAACCTGACCTTCAACTGCTTCATAATAAATACATGTTTATATTTATACCTGTGTAAACAGGAAACCTGTATAAACCCGACCTTCAACTACGTCATAATAAATACATGTTTATATTTATACCTGTGTAAACAGGAAACCTGAATGAACCTGACCTTCAACTGCGTCATAATAAATACATGTTTATATTTATACCTGTGTAAACAGGAAACCTGTATAAACCCGACCTTCAACTACGTCATAATAAATACATGTTTATATTTATACCTGTGTAAACAGGAAACCTGAATGAACCTGACCTTCAACTTCGTCATAATAAATACATGTTTATATTTATACCTGTGTAAACAGGAAACCTGTATAAACCCGACCTTCAACTACGTCATAATAAATACATGTTTATATTTATACCTGTGTAAACAGGAAACCTGAATGAACCTGACCTTCAACTTCGTCATAATAAATACATGTTTATATTTATACCTGTGTAAACAGGAAACCTGAATGAACCTGACCTTCAACTTCGTCATAATAAATACATGTTTATATTTATACCTGTGTAAACAGGAAACCTGTATAAACCTGACCTTCAACTACGTCATAATAAATACATGTTTATATTTATACCTGTGTAAACAGGAAACCTGTATAAACCTGACCTTCAACTACGTCATAATAAATACATGTTTATATTTATACCTGTGTAAACAGGAAACCTGAATGAACCTGACCTTCAACTACGTCATAATAAATACATGTTTATATTTATACCTGTGTAAACAGGAAACCTGTATAAACCTGACCTTCAACTACGTCATAATAAATACATGTTTATATTTATACCTGTGTAAACAGGCAACCTGTATAAACCCTACATTCAACTATGTTATAATATATACATGTTTATATTTATACCTGTGTAAACAGGTAACCTGTAAAAACCCTACCTGCAACTTAGTCATAATAAATACATGTTTATATTTATACCTGTGTAAACAGGAAACCTGAATGAACTTGACCTTCAACTACGTCATAATAAATACATGTTTATATTTATACCTGTGTAAACAGGAAACCTGAATGAACCTGACCTTCAACTACGTCATATTAAATACATGTTTATATTTATACCTGTTTAAACAGGAAACCTGTATAAACCCTACATTCAACTATGTTATAATATATACATGTTTATATTTATATCCTTGTAAACAGGAAACCTGTATAAACCCTACATTCAACTATGTTATAATAAATACATGTTTATATTTATACCTGTGTAAACAGGAAATCTGTATAAACCCTACATTCAACTATGTTATAATATATACATATTTATATTTATACCCGTGTAAACAGGAAACCTGAATGAACCTGACCTTCAACTGCTTCATATATATATACATGTCTATATAGCTAATATTTATACCTGTGTAAACAGGAAACTTGTATAAACTGGACATTCAACTTCTGGTAATGTTTACACGTTGATGATGTACCCGAGAACCTGTGAGTGAATGCTAACACGACTTTTGATTATGGCCTACTATATATACGTGTATGTATCTTAAATCTGTATAAAGAGATAATCTGTATAGTTCCGATATTTAACTACCTCCTAATGTATATATACTTAAACAATAACTGGTTGCCTGGATGCGGGTTTTATGGTAGATTTGCCAGAGGCCACTTGTAATTATATCAACAATAATTACATCCAGACAACCAGGTATTTTTTATATTTACATATTTTTCTTTTTAAGACATATTCCTACAAAAACAATTTGCCCTGTCTCAAAATACATTTCAGGCGGCCATTTTGTTTGTTTACATATTCCTACACCTGAAACAGGCAGTTGTAATTATAGTCGAGCAGTTGTAATTATAGCCTATATAATTGCACTTGCCCTCTAACACTGTTGTAATGGGACGGCGGGGGGGCAAATGTAAATATATATATATAAAACAAAGCATGAAGACTACATTACTGTAAAACAAAACACCAAGACTACATTACTACAGGAGGAACAAAACTCTTTACCGATATATATATATATATATATTGTTTTAGATACAATTATTTTATGTACTTACAACTCTTTAATCATAAAAGCTAAATAGCTTGAACATTTCAGTATTGACTGTATATTTTCGAATTGTATTGTAAGTTCTTTGTTGTAGATTGTTTGTTTTTAGTTTTAGAAGGCCTTCGCCCTGTTACTACAAGGGAGCACGCTATATTTTCCATAAGTGACCAGCTCCGTCTAAGATGTGAGGAAAGACACTCCACTCTGTATTTGACTTCCACAGAGGATGAACAGGTTCTATCGGTAAAGTCTGATGACCGATGTTTCTCACGTGCCTTACGAAACTACTGTCCGGAGACTCCCGGGAGGAGGGTTCCTAACATTGTACACTATATTTGGTTTGGCATAAAGAATATGACATTTTATCAATTAGTGAGTTTCCTCAGCGTCCAAAAATTCCAGAAACCATGTGTGATTCTTGTGCATGGAAACGTTGTTCCCATTGGACCTTACTGGAGACATTTGGTTCATAATGCGTCCAATATCGTCCACGTGAAAATGACACCTCCATATCGTGTAACGAATGGCCACATTCTTCGTACCATGACCCACAAATCCAACATTGCGAGACTGATGGTGCTACAAGGTAACAGTTTCAATAATTTCCTTCACACTGTATTTATTAGGTCACCTGAGACAAAGTCTCAAGTGACCTATTGCAATCGCCTTTTGTCCGGTGTCATACATAAAATGTACCTCCTGCTTAAATAGTATCCGAAAAGTAACCCCCCCCCCAGTATAAAAGTACCCCCTATGAAAAAAAAATATGTTTCAAAATTTTCTATCAATAACAGTTCAGAAGTTGATCAGAAGGTTACAGTTGCATGTTAATTCACCCCTACCCCACCAATCCCCACCCCCGGGGCCAGAAAATTATGCCAAAATAATTCTCAATCACTGGACACAAGTCTGGGGAGTCAAGTAGAAACATTTACAGTTATGTTGTAGTCATTACCCAACCTCTCTTCAACTCTCCAACCCCCGGATAATTTTTATACACCAAACCAAAATGTACCCCCCTATGAAAAAACGATTTTTCTCTTTTTTTTATGTAATTGAGTTCAGAACTTGAACAGGACATTACAGGGGAATAGTAATCTACCCCTACTCAATTCCCCAGCCCCCGGATACTTTTTTTACCCTGACCAAAAAGTACCCCCCTATGAAAAATCTCATATTTCTGTATTTTTTATACAATTGACTGCAGAATTTGAACAGGACATTACAGGTGAATATTTATTTACCCCTACCCCACCAATCCCCACCCCCGGGGCCCGGAATTTATGCCAAAACAATTTTTAATCACTGGACACAATAAGGATTGGGGAGTCATGTAAAAACATTTAGTTATGTTATAGTCATTACCCAACCTATCTTCAACTCCCCACCCCCCAGATACTTTTTTTACGCTCGACCAAAATGTACCCCCGGATACTTTTTATACCCTGACAAAAAAGTACCCCCCTATGAAAAATCTCATATTTCTGTTTTTTTATACATTTAAGTGCAGAACTTGAACAGGACATTACAGGGAAATATTTATCCACCCCTACCCCACCAATCCCCACCCCCAGGGCCAGGAATTTATGCCAAAATAATTTTTAAACACTGGACACAATAAGGATTGGGGAGTCATGTAAAAACATTTAGTTATGTTATAGTCATTACCCAACCTATCTTCAACTCCCCACCCCCCAGATACTTTTTTTACACTCGACCAAAATGTACCCCCGGATACTTTTTATACCCTGACAAAAAAGTACCCCCCTATGAAAAATCTCATATTTCTGTTTTTTTATACAATTAAGTGCAGAACTTGAACAGGACATTACAGGGAAATATTTATCCACCCCTACCCCACCAATCCCCACCCCCAGGGCCAGGAATTTATGCCAAAATAATTTTTAAACACTGGACACAATAAGGATTGGGGAGTCATGTAAAAACATTTAGTTATGTTATAGTCATTACCCAACCTATCTTCAACTCCCCACCCCCCAGATACTTTTTTTACACTCGACCAAAATGTACCCCCGGATACTTTTTATACCCTGACAAAAAAGTACCCCCCTATGAAAAATCTCATATTTCTGTTTTTTTATACAATTAAGTGCAGAACTTGAACAGGACATTACAGGGAAATATTTATCCACCCCTACCCCACCAATCCCCACCCCCAGGGCCAGGAATTTATGCCAAAATAATTTTTAAACACTGGACACAATAAGGATTGGGGAGTCATGAAGAAACATTTAGTTATGTTATAGTCATTACCCAACCTATCTTCAACTCCCCACCCCCCAGATACTTTTTTAACACTCGACCAAAATGTACCCCCGGATACTTTTTATACCCTGACAAAAAAGTACCCCCCTATGAAAAATCTCATATTTCTGTTTTTTTTATACAATTAAGTGCAGAACTTGAACAGGACATTACAGGGAACTATTTATCAACCCCTACCCCACCAATCCCCACCCCCAGGGCCAGGAATTTATGCCAAAATAATTTTTAAACACTGGACACAATAAGGATTGGGGAATCATGAAGAAACATTTACAGTTATGTTATAGTCATTACCCAACCTATCTTCAATTCCCCACCCCCCGGATACTTTTTATACACCCGACCAAAATGTACCCCAGATACTTTTTATACCATGACCAAAAAGTACCCCCCTATGAAAAAATGATTTTCCTCTTTTTTTTTTTTCATTTATGTTCAGAATTTGATCAGGATGTAACAGTTGAATATTTATCCACCCCTATCTCACCAATCCCCACCCCCGGGCCAGGAAATTATGCCAAAATAATTTTTCAACACTGGACACAATAAGATAAGGTTTGGGGAGTCATGTAAAAACATTTAGTTATGTTATAGTCATTACCCAACCTATCTTCAACTCCCCACCCCCCAGATACTTTTTTTACACTCGACCAAAATGTACCCCCGGATACTTTTTATACCCTGACAAAAAAGTACCCCCCTATGAAAAATCTCATATTTCTTTTTTTTTATACAATTAAGTGCAGAACTTGAACAGGACATTACAGGGAAATATTTATCCACCCCTACCCCACCAATCCCCACCCCCAGGGCCAGGAATTTATGCCAAAATAATTTTTAAACACTGGACACAATAAGGATTGGGGAGTCATGTAAAAACATTTAGTTATGTTATAGTCATTACCCAACCTATCTTCAACTCCCCACCCCCCAGATACTTTTTTTACACTCGACCAAAATGTACCCCCGGATACTTTTTATACCCTGACAAAGAAGTACCCCCCTATGAAAAATCTCATATTTTTGTTTTTTTTATACAATTAAGTGCAGAACTTGAACAGGACATTACAGGGAAATATTTATCCACCCCTACCCCACCAATCCCCACCCCCAGGGCCAGGAATTTATGCCAAAATAATTTTTAAACACTGGACACAATAAGGATTGGGGAGTCATGAAGAAACATTTAGTTATGTTATAGTCATTACCCAACCTATCTTCAACTCCCCACCCCCCAGATACTTTTTTACACTCGACCAAAATGTACCCGCGGATACTTTTTATACCCTGACCAAAAAGTACCCCCCTATGAAAAATCTCATATTTCTGTATTTTTTATACAATTGAGTGTAGAATTTGAACAGGACATTACAGGTGAATATTTATCTACCCCTACCCCACCGATCCCCACCCCCGGGGCCCGGAATTTATGCCAAAACATTTTTTAATCACTGGACACAATAAGGATTGGGGAGTCATGTAAAAACATTTAGTTATCAGTGCTCCAGATAACTTTTGAACATGTGGGTTTTTCACCCCTACCTCTCCAAAGTGTTGGGGTGAAAACTTAAATTTTAAACCATGAAGTGCTGTAAAAGCAACGTTACCTGAAAATGTTGAAATAAGATGAATAATTTGTATGTGTTATTCTTATAGTATACGGTTAAGAATGACTCAAATTCATATTTTTGTGTTGTCTTGACATGTGGTATTATTTTTCCATTTCACTGTGATTGTGTTTAAATGTTTAAACCCAAAACTCAATGAGTTGCATATTTTTTTCGTTTGAATAGTACACATATCCTTCTTCGTTTTTTATCATTCCATATTCGAACAGCCCTTCTTGGCTCAAAGTCAGTTCAGGTCCTAACATGTTGATTTTCATCAATGTATTGACAGTTGCTGCTTTGAGAGAGCATCTTAACCGTGACTTTAGGCGGTTTTGCACACTGAATGATCGTTCACATTCTATTGATGTTATACACAAGGTTAATGCAATTTGTGCTAAAACAGAAAAGTTTGGAATCATTTTTGAATGAAGTAAAACTACCCGCCGATTGTTGACATTTTGATAGCGCCATAATTTAATTCTCTCTCGTGTTAGCGTTTGTAACAGGAGGCATTGATATGCAAGCGTCTCGGTGACTCACTGTAAGCGTATTATAATATGCTAAATTGGACCCGGAGACTGACGCAATGTTCCGGATTTTGCTTGCGTGAATTAAGCAAGTTCATTTTTTTCTTTTGCGTAATTTGTGAAATATCGTACGTGAATACGCATTCACGCAAGCTATCTGGAGCACTGGTTATGTTATAGTCATTACCCAACCTATCTTCAACTCCCCACCCCCCAGATACTTTTTTTACACTCGACCAAAATGTACCCCCGGATACTTTTTATACCCTGACAAAAAGTACCCCCCTATGAAAAATCTCATATTTCTGTTTTTTTTTATACAATTAAGTGCAGAACTTGAACAGGACATTACAGGGAAATATTTATCAACCCCTAGCCCACCAATCCCCACCCTTGCATGCTTAGATGAAGGACTACCAAGTTTATTCAAATGAATGACCTTGACCAACGTTCAAGGTGACAGGGGTCAAATGTCTTAAAATCTTCAAACAACTTCTCAATAACCAAAAGGCCCAGGGTACTGAAATTGGGCCTGTCGCATGCTGGGATGAAGGTCTACCAAGTTAGTTCAAATGAATGTCCTTGATCCACTTTCAACTTATGTCCTTGTTTGACAATCAAGGTCACATGCATCATATGTTTAAATCTTTTAATAGGTTCTTATGAAATCTTAAGATTACAAGTGTGAGATTAATACCAGGTGAGCGATGCAGGCCCATTGGGCCTCTTGTTTTCTTATTGAATCAGAATTGTTCTTGAGAAACATTGCATGAAAATGACCTATCTATAAATACTGCCAATGTGATGGTAAAGAGTATGTCCTTTTATTCCAACTATTTCTCCAAAGCAATGTTGTTTATTTAGTTTGTTAGTTCATTTATATACAAGTTAAATTCTCTGTAGTTGTTCTAGAGACTTGTTTTCTAAACTGATTATCATCAAACTTCTTGTCAATCATATATGAGAATGCAGCATAAAACAAGTTATCAATTTTATCAATTCATGGTTGCTTTTAGTTGATTGGTAGGGCTAAACATTTGTGTTTTGAGTTTTTTCAATTACTTTTTGAATTTTTTTTCTGAACAGATGTTGACCAATTGTCATACAATTATCAAGTATAGGTATAAAAATACACAGAGGTATTTGTATCCTAGACACTGCCT